TTTTAATTTTTTCTATTTTATTATTTCTAGTTAGATTCTTGCTATTAGAGACTTATTTTTGTGTTGTTTTTTGTTATTTTTGGCAGGCGTTTGTTTATTTGTGTGTTTTGGAGATTATAATATCTGGTTTATACATGTGTAGTGCTGTATCTTATTTCTTTTGCAAGTGGTGTGTCTGTAGCTTGTTCAATAATAGGTGGTTAACCATCTCAATATCTACACCAAGTTGTTTCATGGTTCTTACTGTTTTCAGCCAGGTCAGTAGTCGATCGATGCTTATTTTCATCCAAACTTCGTCAAACTTCCATATTTCATTCCCTCGCTATTTTATGACCACTTCCCCACTAAATCCCCTTCCTAAATATCTTTTAGGAGCCTTAGAACCGTATCATCTATATTAGAGACCGACAAACCAAAGATTTTTTAGAGATTTTTTCTTTCTTGTCCTAATCTAAAATTTCAAAAAAAATTCTTGCCATACCCAAATCATTCCTATCATAGTTCTTAGCTCCAACCATAAATTTTGAAAATCCAACTTTCACCTCCATCAAAATTTCACATCGACACCTATAACCAAAACATAATTCGCCGACCAACTTTGATTTACAATCTCACATCGCTGGAAACCTGATCGGGAGCAAAGGACTCCATGCCGCCAATGAGGAACCCTCAGCAAGGTGTCCAAAAATTTATTATAGAGGATATTCAATGGAAAATCTTTCAATTGCAATAGAGATTTGTCGTTTTTGAGAGATGACAATCAGGTGAGGTTACTCACAACCACAATTGTGACTTATAAAATCGAGAGAAAGAAGTGAATTTCTTCCATCCAATGATGAAGAACCACTGTATTGACGATTTGACATGAAATATCAAATGAGAAGCTATGATCATCGAGTAAAGGTCAATATACCATACTTTGATGGTCACATGAATCCAAATAAATTTATTGAATGATTTCAAGCAATAAAATGAGTTTTTTAATACAAGAATGTTGCTCAGGACTGAAGTGTTAAATGTTCATCCATTAAGTTTAGGAAATATACTTCATTATGATGAGATAACTTGAAGTGTATTCAATAACGAGAAGGGAAGAGTAAGATCATCAAGTGGTCTAAAGATTAAAAGGGAGGTGTAACGCAAATATCATCATCACATTACTGACATCACATGTTCATGTCATAACTTACTTCAAAGAGACACTTATGTGAAGGAGTACACAACTAACTTTTATCAACTCATGCTGAAATGTGAGTTGGTGGAGCCAGAGAAACACACAATAGCAAGTTATTTTAGAGCACACAAATCTTCTATCAGTAATGTGGTATAGTTGCAACCATATTGGATATTATATGATGCATAGACCCTAATACTGAGAGTGAAGAGACAACACCACAGTGTCAGGTCTTTACCATCGTCAAACACAGTTCAATACCCCCCTCCCCTTAAGATCAAGTAGTAGGAGTATCCCTAGTGGAGCATCTCAGCCTACCCCTCTAGAAGGAAATTTAGTTAAGAGTGGAGAAAAGATGACATCTAGCACGATCAGAACTGTTTCAGCTACGAAGTACTTCAAGTGCCACAAGTTTGGGCATATTATATCAAATTGCCCAAATAGGAGAATGATTTCATTCATAGAGCAAAGAGTAGAACAAAGATGTCGAAGAGGAGTATCAGCTTCCAGCCGACAATGAAAAGATGTTAATGGTTCAAGCTGTGTCCATGAGAGAAACTTCAGTATGATAACATGGGTTGTTCTAGAAGGTACCGAGTCCGAGGAACCGATATCAGATAACGAGCAACCCCTGTTACAATTGTTGCCAGATATCTTCATTGAGTGCCTATTGGGTGGCTACTACCGAAAGTGATTCAACAAGTGATAAACCTCATTCCATGATTTTGCTGCCAAAATAACTTGCTTATGAGATGCAACCAGTTGAGTATGAGAAATTACAAAATACACACATGGGAGTTAGAGGCTTAGTTTGTGATAGTATTAGCCTAGATCGAGCTCCAGCTCTGATTGTGCCAAAGAAGTATGACTATTTATTTTATAAGGACAAACTTTAGAAGGACATGTGTTTTGAATTTGCCTAAAATGTACTTGAGCATAGATTTTCTAGTAGGAGGATTGCCTCTGACAAAGCAAGACTATGATTTTGTTATGGTGGTAATAGATCGATTTCAGAAGCCTCCAGTGAAGAAGAAGCCACTCCTAGCTGGGGAGAATGACCCGGGTGCTTTCATTTCCACTAAATCTCGTGGAATCACGTGAGTTGGCTCCACAAACATTAAATTCCTGCTAGTGACTTTCAGCGATTGCGGGAGTATAGATTTTGCCAAAATTTTCTTATTTTAGCATTTTTCATCCTTTTTTAATTTTTTCTTATTCGTTATTTGTAATTAGGGTTCTTGTTATTAGGGACCTGTTTATGTGTTAGTTTTTTCTATTTTGTGAGACTTATTTGGTTTATGATTTGTTGAGATTTTAATCTCTGGGTTATACCTATGGAGTGGTGTATTCTATTCCTTTTGCAAGTGGTGTGTCTATAGCTTGTTTAGGAACAAATGCTTAATCTCCTCGACATCAGGACCACATTTGTGGTTCTCCTTGTTTTCTACCAGGAAAGCTGCCATTCGACGTCTAATCTCATCCAAATGCCTTCAAACTTCCATATTTCTTGCCCTCACTATTTCATAATCACTTCCCCACTAAATCCTTTTACTAAATACCTTCTAGGAACCCTTAGAATGTTTGCTTCCTACTACTTTATCAGTTTGTCTTGTAGGCGATCAAACTCATTGTCACCATTCTCAACTGGATCCTCACTTCCCACCTTATTGGCTACATCTAGTTGTTTGGCTCAAGCTGCTTCCCTGATTGTGGTTGTTACTTCTTCTCTAGTTTTTTGGCGTGTTTAAGATTTCAGAAATTTAACAACCTTCCTCTAGCCATTTCCTTATATTATTTCAGCAAGAATTCATGCCACTTTAACATAAGCAACCATCTATGCTTCAATGAAATCCTGCACTTATTCTCACTGAAGATGATATTTTAGAGTTCGCAAGTCCATTATCTTTTTTTATTGTTGGCAAATTTTCTTTGGGCCACCACAATCTAGAGATTATTTTTATATATATGTGAGAATTACTCTTGATCAGTGATTTCTTTTGCTAGGCTCATTGAATCTCATCATTTTACCATATGATTATATTTAAAAGTAGATTATACTGGATTCTTTTCATGATCTTATTTTGTTAGTGGCTTTCCCATATGTGTTCTAATTTTTCCTCACTTCGATTATTTTTAGAAATAACCCATCACTTTTGTTTGGGTCGTGTTTCCTTATTATTTTTTATATTATTTCAGCGAATCCACTTGATACTTCTTGATACTCTTTGCGCTCTATTCTTGATAAACGATTACAGGTGATGCTGTGATGATATGTCTCTCTAGTCCATTTATGTTTGGAGTTATAGTTGAATTGGATATTACCATTCCTCTTGAAAAAGTGTGGATTGGTTCATTGTCTTGAGGCTATTGACAAAAGTTAGAATTTGGAGGCATTCTTTCTGTTGCTCTTTCTCACAAATTTTTTGTGCATAATTACTTTGAATATATCAAAGCTTATTCGAAACGGAAGAAATCAAACATCAAGGCACAAGGAAGCATATATATGATTAGATTTCACTTTCAAAGATGGTGGTTATTCCTACACCTACTTCAGGTTAGGCTTGCGCTCAGAATTTATAATCAACTAGAGAACTTTCAATGGAATCTGAGCTTTCTAGGCTTAGGGATATGGCCAACTCACTGTTTGAAAGCATGAACATTAGTTTTGAATCTCCTATCATTCTAGCCATTAACCATGTTTCAAAGTAGCCTTATGATCCGAGTATCTGGATTATTGATGTTATGGTCGATAGGATGTTTTAAATATATTTTTTTGAATTGGGCAGAGGAAAATAAAAATATTTCACTACCCTATTCACAACAAGGATTCAAGGAAGACATTTTAAAAGAGAGTATGTAGTTTTCATTTTTAGCTCAAGGATTCTTCATCTTATGCTATCATGCTATATGTAATTTCGTTTTGTCTTTTTTACTTCCGCTTGGAAATTCTTCATAATTAAATCATGTTATGTCCATATCATTAATTGGTTATAGAATTATGTTTTTTATACAAAAATTTTTACAAAAACACTTTAAGAAGTATATGAGGAATATATGAAGAAAACTTGGCATGAAGTTCTATTATTTCAAACAACATTGTTGGGTTTGTCAACATTGCTTGGTTTGTTTTGCCATGTCTAATAGAAATTTACATTTTGGACAAAATGGCTAAGACGTTCTCAATTATCCAGAGCTAATTTTGATCACCACAATGATATGTTGTGCAATTGGACGCCAATACATGCATTTCTTTCAATGCCAAGCTTATTGAATTTTTAATCTAAGGGCTTTCGGAGTGATTATATTTGACATCATTTAAAGATGTGAAATTTCTATGCAGGATTAGATTTTGAACATGCACCCATTTTTAATGGTATTTGGAATGTTTTGCATATTTTTGAAATGCTAAGGTGAGTGCACATCATCTTCATGGAAAAAAAAAGAGTGGTTTTTTGCTGTTATTAGGTTCACACTGCTCAGTCCTTTGTTTTATTTTATTTATTTTTATATGTTATATTTTTTTCTCTACACTTTGTTTGGTAATTTGTGCCTCTACGTCGCTCCAAGGCCATGGGCAGCAAGCAACATCCATCTCCCTATGAATAATAATGATTTTATTTTGCACCACAGCATACCACAATATCTCTAAACAAAAGCCTAATTTCTTAAGGCCGTGCATTGCTGATCCGCCAAATAAATCCAGTTCACCACTTTAAACATTTTAGAGAATTTCATTATATTTTCTAATTTTTTTTCTGATGCATGCTTTTGAGATGCTATTTTTTTTTCTTATTGTTTATTCTCATATCTCACATAATTTTTTCAGGAGGCATACTTTTATGTGGTCCACCTGGCGTGGGTAAGACTTTACTGGCAAAGGCTGTCGCAGGGGAGGCCGGTGTCAATTTTTTCTCCATTTCTGCTTCACAATTTGTTGAAATTTATGTTGGGGTTGGTGCATCACGTGTACGAGCACTTTATCAGGAAGCGAGAGAAAACGTAAGCTAACTAGCGTCACATTGTTTGCCCTCGCATGGAAAATTAAGTCATGCTGGTTGCATGCAGTCACAAATTTGACTTTTTGAACAATTAAATGCCTTGTTTCTCTCCTAAACAAATTCTCTTACTTCTTTTGATCCATATAGGCTCCTTCTGTTGTATTCATTGACGAGCTTGATGCTGTTGGTAGAGAGCGGGGATTAATTAAGGGTTCTGGTGGACAGGAACGAGATGCTACTTTAAATCAGGTAGTTTAAACAATATAAAATCACTTTGAAATTTTCTATAGTTTCTGAGGTCTCTCTCTTTGGATTTTTCAAGCTGCTTGTATGCTTGGATGGATTTGAAGGAAGAGGTGATGTCATCACTATTGCTGCAACAAACAGACCAGATATTCTTGACCCTGCCCTTGTTCGTCCTGGGCGTTTTGATAGAAAAATATATATCCCAAAACCCAGTTTGACTGGTCGTGTTGAGATTCTGAAGGTAGCTTTCTCTCATATGGTTTAATGTGCTGATATGTGTATTTCTTATAACGATATCTTAATTTCATGTAAGAAAATCGCTCACTCTTTTCCTTCAAGACATTTTAGCCACCGTGTTCTTTTTCCTTCAGCCAAACTCATACTTTGTTTGGCAGTGCTGTGCTATACAAACTAAAAAAGTAACTGCTCTCACTAAGAGAGATGAATTGCTCTTCAAGTACTTGCACCATGTCATGAAGATGCAGTGTCAGAATGCATTGGAATAAATTTTGTGGTTTACAACGTAGATAATGCTTGTGTTGCAGTACCTTTTTTGAGAAAAATTGCAGAAAAAACTCATTACCAAGCAAAACCCTTTTATGTCATTCCCGGGAGGGAGAAATTTTGAAGTATAATTTGTTCTTAAATATATTCTATTTAGAATTGTCATATAATGTCTCAAATATATGATTTCTTTTGATTTTCTGTGCTTCTATTCCTTGCTGGAGCCTGATAAGTCTAAGCATAATCATGCTACAAAGGATCTTTTAACATTAGTTTTGTTCTAGTTCATGGTGCCGCACTATTAAGAATTTCTCCCACTTTGTATTTAGTTTGTTGCTGCAGGTCCTCCGTTAAACTTTAAATGACCAAGTTCTTTCCTAATTCTAACATATAGTCATTTAAGGTTAATGCCAACATGGTGAATGAATTCTATTTTCAGATCCAAATATAATAATTGTAAGACATTATGTAACATTCCAAACTTTATATGCCTATATTCTTTGCAGCTTTGACTTGCATCAAGAAGTTTTATCTGTTATTTTTGAAAGCATAGTAGATTGTTAATTAGGGTTTCTTTTGGTAGAAATTCTACATATGGTCACCAAGATACTTTCTTACATAGATGTTTAGATATGCATCTTTAATCAAATTTAAGGATTTGTATTTAACAGGTACATGCTCAGAAGAAACCCATGGCAGAAGATGTAGATTACTTTGCTGTTGCTAGCATGACAGAGGGAATGGTTGGTGCTGAACTTGCGAACATAGTTGAGATTGCAGCCATAAATATGATGAGAGATGGAAGAGCTGAGGTACATGTCTCATGTGATGGTTGACTTTATTTTCTTATTTTCAATATTCTACTGTCACGGAGAGCCTAATACTTTGGTATATTTTCATGCTTAGATTATGTGCAGATTCAGATAAATATTGTCTTCTGTATCTGAATTTCAGCGTGTACTGGCTTTTTGAATTCTTTACATTGGAAGATACATTATCTATTTGATTTTTTGCTTTGTAAAATAGTCTTTCCATATTGTTAATTACCATTATAGGTCTCATTTCTATTATATAATCTGCCCTATTCATTTCTCGTTAATGTTTAATTTTAAATCTTTGTCCATGAATTAAACTGGTCAAGGAATTACATCATTAATGATGCAGGGCATCAACCTGTACACGGACAACACTTTACCGCGATTCCTTGCCTTGGACTGGCTCAGTCCAGGCAATGGAGGGATCGACCGGTCCTTCTAGGCATGGGCTTCTCTCTTATTTGGAATGGTGTCCACTCTTTTTACCCTAGGTTTCTATATATATTATTCCTTCTTGTTTAGGTCAGTCTTTTGGATGTGTCAGGACATTTCCCGACATCCTTTTCCTCCCTTCTAGGATTATATCCAAAGGCAGACGGTGTTTTGGCAGTAGCTCGTATGAGGTAATGATCTTCTTCAAAGTTCTAGTGGTGGCTCTTCCTCTAGCCCATCCACCCTCAACTTCCCAATAGCCAGCCGCCCCTTCCAAACTTCCATTCCTTGCCTCTTCCCTACTACCTGCCCTTGTGGATCGACTCATCACACATTTGGAAATACAATCCTAGCTGAGTCATGCTTTTGAGTTTGTTGTTATTGTCCCCTTTCTGGTGTGTTGGTTGTAATTGTCTATTGGCTTTCTTGTTTCTACTAATAATATTTTCTTGTTGTTGTTGTTGTTTTGGCTTAACTATGGTATCAATCGGGTCAGTGATTCAATCACCAACTCCATTGGCAATCATAAAATCGTAATGTTAAATTGGCTCATTCAAAATTGGCTCATTCACAATCTCAATCGTTTAATCATAACAAAATGTTGTAATTTTAAATTATGTTATGACTACAGCAAGATCTACTATCTGAATATATATATAACAGCTTCAGCTATATATATATATATAATTATTAAATAATTTATCATTGGTATATATACTAAAAAAATGTGTGAAATAAAAAAAAAGTATTTAAATGCAGATCAAAGATGTAATTTTAAGATTTTTTTGAACCTAAAGTCTGAGTGCATCAGACTAAAATTTTTAAGCTAATTAAAATAATATTTTGCTACTAATAGTCAAGCCACATATTTTTGCAATATATTTATTCAGTTTCCTTTCATTGGAAGCTGTTTTACTTGAGATAAACTTATATGTAACTGTGTTAGATATATTTCTTGACTTGATGAAAGGAGCTGTAGGCACAGTGGCTGCTGCATCAGAGATGAGAATCTCTGTTGCGTGGTGGATTTGGTGGATTTCATTGTAATCCTTTCCCCCTTAATTTTCATGATTCATCACCACTATCTTCTTCAGCTATATTTTTTCTTTGACCTTTAATTTGTATTTGCTCGAGTATCTTCCAGAATAACTCCATCCAACGTACCTTTGGTCCTCTTCCCTTTCTGAGATTTCACTTATTAAGTCTAGCTTGTTGGCTTGTTCGCTAATTTGTTTTTTGTCTTCACTTTTGATTGTTCTATCGTCTCCATCTCTGTTTCAGCCACCTTATCATTACTGGTTCCAGCTTTCTCTATATACTAATTTCTTCTTTATCATTTATTACCTCCTTATTTTTTCCCATTCTATTCTGTTGTCTTGTGTGTTTGTTTGTACCTTCTGCTTTGCCCAGCACCAAAATCCTTTTTACGGCGTTTCAATGATTTTATGAAATTTCCACAATAACATTCATTACATACTCCTATAACAAGATGCTCAATCATAATGTTAAGGAAAAAATTATGAATCTGCCAATAGCCCTTTTATTATCTTTTAGCAAATAACCCAATGATACCACTCTAGGACTCCTAGAAGGTATTTAGGAAGCGGGATATGCTAGGAAGTGGTTGTGGGATGGCAAGGGATAGGTAATATGTGCTTTCGACAATTTTGAACAGGGATAAACATCATTCGATGGCTGTCCCAGCAGAAATTAACAAACAGAGCTCCGGAACGATGAGGTACAGTGGTCGAGGAGATTCATCACATGTTGATGAGCCAATTACAGACATACACACCACTTGCAAAGGGAAGATGATACAACATTCTAAGCAGAGATTTAGAGATTATATTCTTCATAATGCTCAAACAAAGCAAAAATCTTAACAAATAGAAAAACAAACATAAATAATCACCAAAGTAAATATCTAATTAGAAATAAGGAAAAAGTAGGAAATAAATTATAAAAGGTAAAAGTTCTTGATGAGATTGATAACAGACAACCACTTGCTTATTTCATTTGCTGTACACCCCCCTCCCTTCTGTTCCACAATATCGTGGAACTTTTGATATCGGGATCACTGAAAGATCACGATCGGGATCGTGGGATGCCTACTCCCATGAGTCTGGATGCTCTTGTATCATTCACCCTTACTAGGATATGCATTTTCTTGTTCTCTGAAGGCTTATGGAATCTGTCTATCATCACCATAACAAAATCATCGGCTTGTTCTGTCGGTGGCATTCTCACTTTAGAATCTATGCTAGCAACCTTTTTGTGCAAATCTAAAACACATATATCTCTCCAAAGTTTGTCTTCATAGAATAAATAACCTTCTATTTTGGCATAGCCATAGCTAGAACTACACAGAGATGGGTATTCTGATGAATTAAGCCTCGAGCCATTACATCTGGAACCTACTTCTCCCACTTATAGTACTCGATTAAACGTATTAGATAAACAAGTTTGTCTAGAGAATATGACATTGAAATACAATTTGTAGCATGTTGTATTACTTTTAGTGGCAACCTTCCACTATGTAAAGTGTTAGTTAGGAGTTACAACAATTTTCTCAGCAAGAGACGCCTCTTTTCTGGTATTAGCTCATCATTTTTACTACCTTCTGCGACAACCAATATTAGTGCTGTTGATGTCTCTCTTATAGGCTTAGCTTGAATCACAAGCATCTCTTCATCATTAGTTGGAAGCTGATACATCTCTCTGGCGTCTTCATTTTCTCGTGTCTAACAGTCCATTTATTTAATTGCTTATTTCTCGGTGAATGGTATTATTCTCGTGTCACGATCTGGTTGGAGGCTTGTAATTAACCGAGGAGAGAGCAATTGGTCGGACAATATGAACTAAGCTTTCTATATTCATTTATCATTTAACAAATAAAAAAGCTGTAAATCAAACTAAATTAAAGTAGTAAAATTAAATTTACCTCGTTACTAGTTGTTTGTGCCTTGTATAATATTTTCTCTTCTTTGATCTTCTTTTACTCACTGAATTAAACTTGAAATTTTAACTTAAGCCTGAACAAAGATAGTGAATAATCACACTCTTAAACAACAATAATATATAAGAAAGAAAAAATAATATGTATGCTAGTTAAAATTTTAATAATTTAATAGAAACATTTCATATATTATTTAATGAATCTTACTATATTGATAATATATTAATATCATTTTATATTTGTACAATCATCATAGGAGTACCGTTTAAACCACTTTATGTACTTCAATATTAATATCCTTTTTCATTTATATGCACAGGTACATTAACATTCTCTTGCTAGTGTCATTAACACGACTCTATCATAGTCAGTCATGCACATAAAAATATCAATATAAACATATTATTCATGTGCTCATCACATTAAATTCAATATACTATATATAACATACACAATGCATGATAATAATTAACTAAATACATTCATAACAATATGGCCAATAAATGAATGAACATATAAATCAAAATAAATCTTGTACAACTATCATTATCTATTAATGTAAAATGGAGGAGAACCAAAATATACTATGTATTAAAGGAACTAGTATTTACCTCAATGTTAATTAATTTGTTATTTGACTTGCCTTAATGTTGAGTCCTCTTATGAGAAACCTAACATAAACATAGTATTTATAAATAAATTATTATTTTAGTTATCAATTAACTTTATTTATATATAAAATTATTATAGTTTACTTTATGTACTCCTGCTTAAATTTCTATTCAATACATATATCTATGCCGCTCCCTGGTTATTATATATATATGGCGCTCACACTCACGCTCTGCTATGGTTTTGCCATGGCGATCCCTGCTTATTACTCCACTACTTTTCTTCGTCGATCAAACTCTCTTGCCGTTGTCGTCGCTGTTGACGTGCGTCATCGACTTCGTCGATCGAGTCGTCTCTGCTCGTGCGTTGGCTGTTTCGGGCTCCGTCCCGTGCCTTCCAGCCGGCGCCTCTCGTCCTCAGGCTCGAGCTGAAATCGCGGGGGCTTTTCCGCTCCTGCTTGTTTCGGGTTTTCTTTCCAGTTTGCTCTGAGATCGTAGGGGCTTCGTTTCCGCTCCAGTTCCCTCTTCCTGGTTTTCGCTCCTTCCACTTTGTTCCTCGAGCTGAGATCGCAGGAGCTTCGCCGCTCCCTGTTTCGGGTTTCTGCTCCTTTCAATTTGCTCTCTGCTTTGCTACGCCACATCTCCATTTTTTGTGGATGGATTCAGAAAGATCTTATGCTGCTGCACTTGCGGGTGTCCACGCTTCAGATACACCTAAATCTTGCTCTTTCTCGTCTTCGTTTGAGTGGACGGAGGACATCAAGAAACCTGGTAGGAAGAATGAGAAACCTGCTATCTTTTTTACAGAAGTTGAAGGTATTCAACTTGCTTCCTCCTGTCGACTGAATTTGGTCCGAAAATTTATGTATGACCATCCCAAAATGGAGCTGATTCGTAAAGAATTTGATCTTATGCACCTTTTTGGAGAGTGAAAAGTTGGACCATTAGATAGAAGACATGTTTTTATACAACTAAATAATGAAGAGGATTGCTCGCGC